AGTCATTTGATTTCTATGTGTTCCATCTGGTGAGGTCCATGTATATAGTCATCTGTTATGCTGTCTAAAGAAGGTATTTGAAATAAACAAATCATTTGTCTTGCAGAAATCTATCATTTGTTCACCAGTATCATTTCTATCACCAAGTCCAAATTTTCCAACTACTGGACCTTCCTCTTTGCTACCTACTTTTGCATTCCAATCACCAGTAATGAGCAATAATTACTCACCTAATATTTTCCTGCAAAACAACTAAAAATATGTCATGTTTATTAATCAACAGATATTCTACAGTAGACTTTAAAATATTTCTTTATTAATTTTGTGCCTGGCCTAAACCAGTCACCTGGGAACCACAACCATCATAAGATCACAAGGCATTTCCAGATCATACCCTTTCAATTTCACAGACTTCTCCAAGGCTTTGTGATTCAACTAATGTTGAGCTTTGGGTCACTACGAGTCAGAATCAACTCAATGTCAGTGGATAGTCATCATTGCTTCTAGATGAGTTCCAAACCAAAGCCAATGAAAGAAAAAGACTGAAAACAAACTACTATGGTCCAGTCTTCAAAAGCAAACCTTAGGGTGTCTAGAGGATTCCTAAAGCTCCACTCACTCACTGTCCCTTCAGAAAAGAAAACACAGTATTAACAGGAAGTCACAGAGAGTGATGTGATGGTGGTGCTTTTTTGAAACATTCATTCTAGGTAATATGAGGGCAAGTCAAAACATATTGTAACTAGGGTTCCAGTTCAGATGTGCTTAGCCTTATTCTAAATAAAATGTGCTTAAACGTATGTCTTAGGTGTCTAGTACTGCTATCACATAAATACAAGTGAGGGGACTGTACAAATTCATTCTCCCACAGTGCAGGAAGTTTTAAGTCTGAATTCAGAGCACCGACTCAGAAGAAAGGTCCTTGTCTCCTTTCAGCATCTGTAGGCCCAGCATTCCTGGAGATCTCCATGAGTCTTAGCATCAATCTTCCCCTGGATCTAGGAGCTTCACAGAGCAGGGACCTCAGGCTCAAAGGACACACTTTCAAACTGATGGGTGCCAAAAGAATTGGTTGAAAACCAGCTAGTTCAAAGAGTTGATCTTTCCATCAGTCTTTTAAGCAAGATTAAAGTGAATGAAGACAATTTTATGGAATGAATCATAACCAGGAACAAATCTTGGATTTACCAATGGGATTCACAGAACAAGGTCCAATCAAAACAATGACTTCCAGGGGGATCCACTGGGCAAGTTAAATTCAGTGCAGAGAGGTTGGCTCAGAAGATTATGGTGACTGCTTTTAGGGATCCCAAAGAAATAATCTTGATAGATTTCTTGAAGGACACAAGATAATAACAGAAATTTATTGGGACAAAGATTTAAGAAACCAAAAACAAATTGGTGAGAAATGGGCCAAGAAAGTTGGGTTGAGGACCATCACAATGCATTCGCTCATTCTTTGAGGGTAGCAAATAGGTCCTACCAGAATTTCATTCAGAAACCATGTCTAACTCATGCTACAGCCCTGATCTTGTCCCTTTAAACTTCTTTTTGCTCCAAACATTCAAAGAACATTTAAAGGGAATACAATTTGAGTGCATCAAGGATGTCCAAACTATCGTTTGATGTGGTGTAAATCGAAGAGTGCAGTATTCTTCAAAGGAAGGTTGTTGTTATTGTTGGGTGCCATCGAGTTGATACTGACTCAGTGACCCTACACACAACAGAATGAAATCCTGCCATGTCCTGGGCCAACCTCACAATTGTTGCCATGCTTGAGCCCACTGATGTTGCCATTTTGACAATCCATCTTGCTGGGGGTCTTCCAAACATGATCTTTCTCCGTGACTGGTCCCTCCTGACAATATGTCTTAAGTATGAGAGACACAGTTTGGCCATCCTAGCCTCCAAAGAGCACTCTGGCTGTACTTCTTCCAACACAGATCTCTTGGTTCTTTTGACAGACCAAAGTACTTTCAATATTCTCCTCCAACACCGTAATTCAAATGCATCAGTTCTTCACAGGTCTTCTTTATTCACTGTCCAGCTTTCGCATGCATATGAGGTTATTGAAAATACCATGGCTTGGGTCAGGTGCACCTTAGTCCTCAAACTGACATCTTTGCTCTTCAACACTTTCAAAAAGGTCTTGTGCAGCAGATTTGCCTAATGCAATACATCGTTCAACTTCTTGACTGCTGATTCCATGAGTGTTTATGGTTGATCCAAGAAGAATGAAGTCCTTGACAACTTCAATCTTTTCTCCGTTGATAAGAATGATGTTTATTGTTCCAGTGGTGAGGATTTTGGTTTTCTTTACACTGAGATGTAACCCATACCAAAGACTAGTGTTTGATCTTCATCAGTATTTTAAGTCCTCTTCAGTTTCAGCAAGCAAGGTTGTATCATCTGCATATCTCAGGTTATTAATGAGTCTTCCTTCAATCCTGATGCTACACTTTTCTTCATATAACCCAGCTTCTCAGATTATTTGCTCAGCCTACAGGTTGAATAAGTATGGTAAAAGAATGCAACCATGTTGCACACCTTTCATAATTTTAAACCATTCAGTGTTCCCATGTTCTGGTTGAACAACTGCCTCTTGGTCCATGTATAGGTTCCTTATGAGCACAATTAAGTGTTCCAGAATACTCACACTTTGCAATGTTGTCCATAGCTTGTCATGATCCACACAATCGAAAGCTTTTGCAAAGAGGAAACCTCTACATAGAAGGTTGGTAGTGGTGGTGTGCCGTGGAGTCAGTACTGACTCATAGCGACCCTGCATAGGGTTCCCGAGGCTGTAAATCTTTACGGGAGCAGAAAGCCTCATCTTTCTCCCATGGAGCAGCTGGTAATTTCTAACTGCTGACATTGAGGTTAGCAGCCCAACTCATAACTACTATGCTACCAGAGCTCCTTAAAAGGTTAGAGAGATGGAAATTCAACTTTCAGAGATGTATAGACCTAGATGGAGGACATACCAAGAAACAATAGCTTCCTAGTTTGATAGTTTTATTTAATCAAGGTCTCTGTGATTTTTTAGCAATACTTTTTGACTCACCCTTGAAGATGGAATAACATATACAACTAGCTGGTCTCTAAAATGTTTGTGTATATGTGTATATATGTATATTTAATCATATAAATAAACTCTAGGCAAACATCTGGAAATTATTCTCAATAAACAAGATTACTATCCTAGAAAGAGAGTATATTAACAGTATAGGATGACTTAGCCAAGTAGTGATTACTCACCAGAATTATTTTGTTCCTTCTGTAATGAAAGATAGTAAGCATCATTTCCACCCCAACATACTGCCAGTCCAACCACCAAGACATCATCATAGTCTTTAACAGGAAAACCATCATCTCTAATAGGAGTATCCTGAGGTGAACTAACTGAATTAAAAGTGAAAGAGTTAAATTTCTAAAAATACAGCTATTCAATTGATCATTAAAACAATGATAATAAAAATTATACTGACAAATTCTCAAACTTTTATAAATAAATACATTCAGAAAAACAGAAATTTATGCAATCTAATAAAAATCCTCTGATTTCTATAATTGTGGTTGTTGTTGAGTGTTGTCGAGTTGATACCGACCCATAGCAACTCTGTAAAGGGTTTCCAAGGAGCAGCTGGTGAGCTTGATTTCTATAATAGGTTGTCCAAAATACATAGCTCATGATAAAACAGGAATGATTTTTGTGGTATAATTTGAGCAAAAGTTTCAATTATCTCAAAACCTAGAAGAGCTCTGTGAGGTTTAGTGGTTAACATTTCAGTACAGAATTCATGATTATCACTCTAAGTCCAAGTTCTACTTGAGGTAAGTCTTAGAAAATGTAACTAAGGAATATTCTGAAAAATATATTACCTATATACTATGCATTTTTATTATTAAAATGAACAAGGATATTACAATCTAATAGTTCAAGAATTATATTCCAACTAGTAGAGCATATATTACATATACCCTGTATGCCAGAAGGTAACTATCATTAATCTAGTTATGTAGAATTTTAATAAATAGGACTGTTCTACATATTACAATGGAGAAATGCTGTATTAAAAACTTATTAACTGCTGAATAAATTTATTACATTTAATATTCAAGTCAGAAAAGTCTAAATTCCATCTCAGTTCAGTAATAGCTTAAAATAAGTGTGAAAAATAAAAAATAAGTCTTACCTTGCTTAAACCTACCACCAATAGTAGCAGTTTTAGCAGATGTCAAACCACTGATTCTTTCACAAGCCACTGAGACAGAAAATTGTTTTTTGCACTGCCATTCCTTAATGAATGTTTGAAAGAGAGCTTGGTCACTGGCTACATCAATTATCAACAAACTTTCTGAAGTGCTTGAAGTTGGAGTTAAGTGCAATTCATCCTGTGATAACTGTAGTGAAAAAGTGGTATCTCTAATAGGACTCTCTTCTTTGAAATAATTCCTATTCCCTGGATTTAAATCACAGTATTCAATATCTGAGGGTGAATCAAGTAAATATATTTCACCAGGTTGTCCAACACTACTGGTTTTCCCAGGTTTTACAGTAGATGTTCCAAGAATTCCTGGAAATGACAGCTTGGAAGCAGATGCTGGAGTGGGTGTCGGAGGAATGAGACCATTATCATCAACTATACAAGTTTCTTTACAAAGCAGAAGGGGTGCGACTTTCCCATGAATGGTATTGTTCACTAGTGCCTCAATCCTGCTTTGTACTTCAATATTTGGGGCAAATGAAACGCCCTGCATATGATTTGTCTCCAAATTTGAAATCATTTCTTGTTTATCATTTAACACTATATTTTTCCCCATCAAGTTAGACAGGCTTATAGCCCTTTGTTTTACATCGTCATTTTCTAGAGGACTGGATACTTTATCTAAAATCCTTTGCAGTCCAGGACTTAAATCAAATGATGTCCCTGACCATATGAATGAGTGATTTTGCACTGTTCCAATCAATCTGGACTGTTGATCCTTTTCATCTTGATTTGCTGCAGTTACTTCGGTACCACAGTGATCATTACCTGAAATCCCTGGATCACTTAGCTCTAATGCTTCAAGAGATACTACAGCATTATGTTTATCTTGAACAGGAAATATATCTACATTGTCCAAGGCTTCAACCATTTGAACAGAATCAATTTCTGAAAACATAAGAGACTCGTCACTGAAACAGATTGATTGCTGCTGAATATCTTGATTCTCATTCATATTTGATTGTTTAATTAGCCCCTCTGATTGTGGACACTGAGAATTACTGAAATGCTTTGATGTTACTTCAGAAGGAAGGGGTTCTTTTGCTTGTACAGCAACTGGTTGCTCCTTTACTAGGTAGTCTTCATTGAAACTGTCAAATAATGAAGTATCACTCCTATTCAAACTTGTTTCAAAAACTGGCAGACAGTCTACTTCAGTGCCAGTGGGAGTGCTCTGTTGAGGACCCAGAGGTGTGACAGGTTTCACAGCTTCTTGGGTTTGATAGCCTTGAAGAAAACTATTTAATTGAGAGTCAGTAACAGAAAGTTCATTCCCTTTAAAACAAGACTCCAACAGTTCTGGAGAAAGAAAACTTGGACTTTGTGAAGTCTGAGTATGAATTACACGTGAAACAGTGCTTTGTTTCATAGCATGTGCATTCAGGTCCAAATGATCTCTATTTGTCACTCCTACAGAATGCTGTTCAGCAGGAAAAGTAATGCGACCCTCTTTCTGAAAAGAGCTAGTTGAGCTACTTTTGTCTAAACTCTTCTGCATCATCCCTGCTGTTGGGCTGGTGTCCTTTGCTGCTTCTTGTTTGGCATTTTCAGTTGCCATCTGTTGTATTATTTTCTCTGACTGAGTATCCAGACATAAACTATCTTCAAAATCACAGAGTGCTAAACCAAAGTCAGGAATGTGAGGATTCTTTCTAGTTTTGTTTTCTGCATAAGCATCTGTTTTTTCTTGTTTTTGAGCGGTATTTAGGAAGTTCTCATGCTGGCCTCCTGCTTTCCCCAATGTCCCAGTTGGTAAAAGTAATCTGCTGGGTATCTCAGTGCTATTCATATTACCTCCTAATGTCTGAAAATTATTTGATTTCGTTTCCTCCACATTTAACTTTGTATTTTCACATTTGATGTTAGCAGCATTGGAGTCTCGACTCATATGATCACTGATTGCCTCCTGGGGCATTTGTTCATCTATGACTTTTCTCTGGTTTGTATCAGTGTTTGTCTGTTTATTAGATTGCTTCTCAGAGTACTGGTTTATTGGATGAGTGTCATGGTGTTTTACATAAACATTTGGCTGTTTCAAATCATTTTGTACCAACTTATCATTTATACTTTCTGTGTCAACAACAGCTAACCCTCTCTCATCTTCACTAACCACACTAGTAGCTTGACAAGTCACTTTTTTACTCTGAGATCTCATGATAAAATGATTCGAAAGAATATCACCAGTTACTGTTCTGTTCCTTGAATAATGTTGCTCTGTTTTGTTACACTTTTCCTCAGCACGGAGAGATACATTTTTAGCAAATGACGGTGTACTTCTAGATTCCATATTTTTCTCATCTAAGATTAATGGATCTTCACAATGGATAGGATTGGACATAGTATGTTCTTGTAAATCAATTCTATTCATGGCACAGTCTTTCAAAGGCCTCTTGTCTCGTGATTGTTTTAGACGTTTACTGTGTTTCCGAGATTGGAAGGTTGAGTTCAACTCTTCTGAACTAACATTCAAAGCTTCTTTTTTTGTCTTTTCAGAAAACGTTTGAACCACTCTCTTAGTGCTTGTTGTGTGCGCCATGAGAGAGGTGCCTAACTGCTCTCTACTAATGTTCAAAGAAGGCCGCTTCCTTGCTCTGGAAATGGAATGTACATGATGTTCTTGCTTCCCATTCTGGAGCTTATAAGATGAACTTGCATGTTCTTTATTTGTATCTAAATCTTGCCCGGTATTTGGCAAATCCTTAACAGAAGAATCACTAATCATTATTACTGGGTTACTTTGTTTCTTTGATGTTGTTAATCTTTTACAAACACTCTTAGTTTGGATAATAAATGTGTGTTCCCCTACTTCTGATTCACTGCTGGTCAATGAACGTGCATCAAGATTTAAAAGGGAATTTGGATTCCACTGCACTCCCATTTCAACTAAGTCCTGCTGCAGAATCATTTTGGCTTCTTCCACTATAAGGGCTGCGGCTTCCCTTTCAGTTAAGCCTCTTCGTCCAGCCACCCAAACAGTTCGCATATTCCGACGTTCTTCAACTGCATCCTCCTCCTCATCCACTGCCTTTCGGGCACTAAACAGGGAGATAGAGAACAAAAGGAATCTATGCATTCATTCATTCCTACAACAAATGTTTATTACGCATTCAATCTTCGATGTTCTAAGAACAGAAAAGACAACACTGAACAAGAAAGAAATATATCTATTATCATGGAGCTAACCTTCTAGTTGGAAAAACTGAAACAAACAAATCCTTAAAATGTATGACATGCCAATTGGTGATAAGAGTGTGTGTAAAAATAAAGCAGGAGAGGGAACAGAGAGCACCAGGAAGAGAGGAGGGGGTCTGCAACTTTAAATGGCATAATGAGAGAAGACCTCACTAATGCAGGTGCTCTCACCAAAAGATACAGAAAGGGAGGGGCAGAAACCTTTCACTGAAAACTGATCTTCTTGGACAGTGTGAACTCTGGATAAAATATCTGAAAGGACTTGAGAGTGGCCAAAAGTAAGTAGACAATGGAGGAGAATGAGACTAAGAAGAAATAAATGGGAATTTGGATTCCACTGCACTCCCATTTCAACTAAGTCCTGCGGCAGAATCACAAAGAATTTTTCACACATTTCATCTGAAGGCAGGCTCAATCACAAAGGCTGTGTTTTACAGATTGAAATGTGTCCCCCAGAAAGGAACGCTGAAGTCCTAACTTGTGACTTTTTCTTATACAAATAGAGTCTGTGTAAATGTCATTAAACTAACATGAGGTTATACTAGAGTGGGTCCTACTCCAGCATGAGTGGTCTCCTTATAAAAAACAAGAGACAAGAGGCAGGGGGAAGAATGTCACAATGATGTTATGCTGTAGCTTGAAGCCAAGGTAGACCTAGGATGACCAGAAGCTAGAAGAAACAAGATAGGACCAGCGCTCAGAGCCTTCTGAAAGAGCATTATCCTGCTGACAGTCTGAATTCAGACTTCTAACCTCCAGAAACAGGAGACCATACATTTTTGTCATTTTAAGCCACTCCATTATAATACTGTTATGGCAGTTCTAAAAAACCAAATGCAGAGTTCTGAAAACTTAGATAAAACCCGGAATCTATTTGATTAGCAGAGCTCAGGGTTATTTAACAAATCTGTAACAGAGCTCAGGGTATCATCAAGAGTTAGAAATAGAAGAGGGAAAGCCTAGAAATGAAAGAACCAGAGAAGGAGAACTCTAAATTCTTCACACAAACTCTATCCAAATTACTGGCTGACCTCTAAACAATGCATGTGTGTACAGGCAGACTCCAAGCACCAGACAAGTCTAAACAACCAACCAGAGGAAGATAAAGTTGGGCGTTTGAGTTCAGCTAAGCTATCTTCCTGGTAAAACAAAATATCAATATCCTCAGAGTAATATGACAAATTCTAGACTCAAAAAAGTCATTTACATATATAACTGAAGTGCCAAGCAAATAGAGATGGTCTGGGCATAAAAATTATCTGAAGAACAGTGGCCATGATACTTCTGCTTCAAGTGCATAGATAGAGTACTTGTTGTTGTTATTAAGTGCCATCAAGTTGGATCAGACTCAGCAGCCCTGTATAGGGCTTCTGAGGAATGGCTGGTGGATTTGAATCACGAACCTTTGTGTTAGCAACTCAGTGCTTATCCTACAGCACCACACCAGGAAGCAGTACTAATGCTGTTGTTATGTACCAGTGAGTCAGTCCCAACTCATAGCAACCTGTATAGGGTTTCCAAGGAGCAGCTGTTGGATTTGAACCACCAATGTTGCAGTTCAAACTGACCTCGTGGTCCTGTGCATTATCCTACAATGCCACACCAGGGTTCCTAGGAGCTGATTTACCTTCTGAAACAACTAAAAACTGAGGCTAGGACATAAAAGATACGGCAGCTTCCACTTTGCTCTCGATTGGATCACTCACTCTGGGCAAAGCCAACCATCTTGTCTTGAGGACACTCATACAATCCTAAAGAGGTCCATGTGACATAAAGCACAAACTTGTTAGTATGTAAGTGAGTCATCTGAGAAGCATATCATATCCAAATTACAGGCACCAAGCACATCCACAACCCACCAGAGCAAATTTCATTAGTTCTTATAGCTTGAAAATAATACTTTGTTTTTCCAGACCATCCTAGGCAAATGTCCAGCTCTCCAGACTCAGGTTGTTGTCCAATCGATTCTGACTCATAGCACCTCTGTATAGGGTTTGCAAGGAGCAACTGGTTGAGTTCGAACCTCTGACCCTGTGATTCAAACCGACCTTGCATTCCAGTGTTTTATCCCACAGCGCCACACCTGGACTCCAAAAATCAATATACCTCACATCAAATACACTTCACACCAAATACATTTCACATCAAAAAAAAAAAAAAAAGATGAAAACTTAGGAACATTAAAAAAATGGCAATGATGAAAATAAGAGAGAAAAAAACAACCAAAACAAAAACAAAATCAACTCACTGCAGGAACAAAGAAAGCAATAGTACCACAAACACACAGCAAAGTGACAGCAATCAATTCACACCTGTCAATAATTACATTGAATGTAAATGGATTAAGTCAAGATAGAGTAGCAGAATATGTAAGAAAACAGGATCTTTCAATATGCTGTCTATAAGAGACACACCTTACACCCAAAGGCAAAAAGAGACTAAAAACAGAAAGATAGGGAAAATATATTAAGCATAGGCAAAAGAAGCAAGAGTGACAATATTAATTTCTGACAAAACAAACTTTAAGGCAAAAACCAGCATAAGATACAAAGAAGGACATTATATCATAATTAAAGGGTCAATTGATTAAGAGAACATAACCATAATAAGTGTTTATGCTCTCAATGAAAGAACTTCACAATACATAAATCAAACTCTAATAAAATTGTAAAAAGAAACAGACAACTCTATAATAATACTGTTCCTGTTGTTTTAAGTGCCGTCAAGTTGGTTCCAATTCATAGCGACCCTGTATTGGGTTTCCAAGGAGCAGCTGGTGAGACTGAACCACTAACCTTGCAGTTCAGCACATTAACCCACAGCACCACACCATAGCTTTTAATACACCACTTCCAATGAAGGATAGAACTAGAAAGAAACTCAGCAAAGATACAAAAGAACTAAACAACACAATCAACCAATTTAATCTCCTAGACTTATACAGAATACTCCATATAACAACAGTATAGTACATATCCTTTTCTAGTGCACATGGAACATTCTGCAGAAGAGTTCAGAGAGGCTGGGAAGAAGGGTGGAATGGAAACAAGAACATGGATGGGATAACAATTATTGAAAAGAAGTATATGGGTTTTTAATGTAAAACTATGATCTGCTCTGTAAACCTGCACTCAATTCATAATATAAATAACTAATAAATAAATAAACCTCTGTTAAGCTGAACAATATTTAAAGAATAAGCTCAAGGAAAGAAAGTCATATTTTTATTCCATTTCAGTGTATCCTGAGAAAAAATATTTTAGTATATTATCTACCATTTATAAATTGGCATTACTTTTCATTTAATGATTCTTTGTAGACAGAGGGGCTTTCTTACCTTTTGAAAGGCACAGCATTTTTCAGAACAGCCTCCACCTGAGTAATACTTGCTCTGGCAAGGTCTGCCACAGTAAGAAAGCCAGACGCATAGAGGAACCTGGCTCGCTGTGCATTAAGTAAGGACACTCGGATCAGGTCACACAGCTCCCTCTGGATGCCAAAGGTAAGACGCTTCTGAAACTGGGAAAGTAGTAGTTCCATGTTGTGCCAGCCCAGGCGGTTGGAAAATACTGTAATCATCCCTAGAATATTCATAAAATAGTTGGTGAATTAAAAATTCTCTATAGATTCCATTCATTATTTCTTTAGATACACACTTAAAAAAATTTTTTTTCTATAGGTTGAATTGTGTACCCCAAAAACATGTGTTGGAATCTTGGTTAAAAACACATGTAAATGTAATCCCATTTGGGAGTTATGTTTTCTTTTTTTGCTGATGAATCCATATAGATATAGGATGTGTCTTAAGCCAATCACTTTTATAAAAGGAGATTAAGCACAGAAGCAAGCCAACACAGATGTGGGCAGGTAGATGCCATGCCACAGGAAGATCAACAAGGAATCAAGAAACAGAAACAAAAAAGAGACAGACATTCCCCCAGAGTTGGCATCATAAATTCAGATTCCTAGTCTTCTAAACTCTGAGAAAATAAATTTCTGTTCATTAAAGTCACTCATTTGTAGTATTTGTTCATATGAGTTGGAATCAACTCAAGGCACTGGATGGGTTACAACAGCACATGATAACCAAGAATTTGATATCAAGATAAAGGTCCTGCTCTAACAGACACCTAAAATGTGGACATGGATTTGGAATTGGATAATGGGTAGAATCTGGAGGAAGTTTGATATGCTTCACAGTAAGGACCTAGTTTGCCTTGAAGAGACTGTTGGTAGAATTATTCTGTTGAAGGCTCAAAACTGAAAGCTGTGATGAAAGCTTTGCTTGTCCTAAACAGAATGTTACTAGACATGTGGATATTAAATGTGCATCTGGTGAGGTTTTAAAAGGCAATTATGTGATTAGAAACTAAAGGGAAGGTGATGCATTTTATGGAGTGGAAAAGAACTTGTCAGAATTAGACAAGTTAGAATGTTTGGTATGTTGGAAATAAATCTTAAGCTAGTCCATCTTTAGGAATTAGGGAACAAAGGTCCAGGAAGTTGCTAACTAACTGAGGCACAGATTGGTGGCTGACTTAGCAACCACAATAGCCCATTCACCTGGGGTATGTGTAAACAGGATAAATTAGGGTAGGGGGAAGGGAACCGGTTAGAGAAGTAGAAACTTTAAAATACGAATGCAACCATGAAAAGGAAATAGGCAAGATTGTTCACCCCATAGTACTCAGTCAATGAGAAACTGGGTGAAAGACTTTCATGCTAGGAAACAAAAACACTTGTAAAATGGCTGTGCAGCTCACCTGCCCATCTTGTCTTCTGGGTTTTGCACCAGATTTTGCAAAATCGAATAACAAAGCCTCATTCTTGCTAAAATGAGTACAGATTGGATTTCTTGAGCATTTGTACATAGGTAAACACTTGTAATAACTCATCAGTAACCTCATATAGGATAAAGTGATCTGCCCCAGTTCTCCCTCTGGAGACCCATCAGGGTAAGATCCTAGTTAGGAATTTATACCGATCCACCAGCTACAAAGAGGAATCAAGGCACTATCTGGAATATCGACAATGTTTCTTACAGATAGAAGGTAGAATTTGTAAGTGATGATGCAGTTTGGCTTCTTTGTGCCTCTTACAATAGAAAGTAGAATGAAAGAAATGGACTTAAAAAGCAGTGTGTAAAATGAAACCAGAACTTAAAGATTTGGAAAATCCTGTTGTCTAAACTAAAGACATGTGACCTAGAACTTTCACCAAGGACAATGCAATTCAATGTTTTGAAAGTAATTTTAAGAAATTAAGCTTGTGACTAAAGAATCTATTCAACCACTGTAGCAGAAGGGGACAGAGACCATACAAAATGAAGGAAAGATTCCTGCCTCCTAGTATTCTATAGGCAGGAAACAGGCCGATGGAGCCTCCTTCAAGAAAAAAAAGCACCATTCCAGGAACAGTCCAGACATCAGCAGAACTATTGGAGGATCCATGGCACAGAGGACTGCCTCTGTTTCAAAGGTACAAAAATTGCTACCTAGGTTTCAAAGAGAGCCCTGGTAGCACAGTGGTTAAGCTCTCAGTTCTTAGATGAAACATCAATAGTTTGAGCCCACCAGCCACTCTGCAGGAGAAAAATACGGCAATCTATTTCTGTAAAGGTTACAACCTTGGGAATCTTGTGGGGCAGTTCTACTCTGTCCTATAGGACTGCTACGAATTGGAATCAACTTAATGCAATGAATTTGGTTTCATTTCGGTTTGGGTTTCAAAGAGTCAAATCTCCACCAATTTGGTTCCTGAATGTGGGGCTGCCATTCAGCTGGGCCAAGAGAATGGAGTCACTGCCCAAAGCTGAGAGAGTGAAGCTGCCACAGGCAAAACTCAAAAGATGGAGTCTTCACCTAAAGATGAGGACAGGCTGCCAAGTCTAAGGACCAGGAAAACTGAGTCTGCTAAGGCTAAGGGTCCAGATGGTCTAGGAAAAGGATTCCACCCAAAGCTGAAGGAGAAGAGTTGCCATCCCAGGCAGAAGTGCATCCAAGGCTAAAGGTCCTCCACCCAAAAGCCAGCAAGTGTGGTCAACATCCTGAATCTGGAGAGCTAGACAACTGCCTAGATGGTCTGGAAGAATAAAGCATTATTTTCAAGTCATAAGAAATTATGAAATTTGCTCTGGTGTGTTGTGTATTTGTTTTGTATCTGTAATTTTTCCCATTTGGACTAGGAATGTCCCTATATGTGTTCCACCATTGTACTTCACAATGATATAATTTGTGTTCTAGGTTTCACAGATTCCCTGAGGAAGAGGCATTTTGTCACAGTATAGAATATGCCCAAAGTCTTATTTAGATGATTCATAAGAAGAGATTTTGAACTTGGAAGTGATTTAATAATTTCAGAATGATACAGTAGAATGTGCTTTGTATGTGGGAAAGACATAAATTTGGGGATTCAAAGGGTAAAATGTTATCGACTGAATTGTGCCTGTGTGGAGTCCTGGTGTGGCACTGTGGGTTAATGCACCAGACTACAAAGCCTTTTGAACTGCAAGGTCAGCAGTTCAAGCTCACCAGCTGCTCCTAGGAAACCCTGTACAAGGTCGCTATGGGTCGGAACTGACTAGACGGCACATAACAACAACAACAACAAAATCTGTGTAAAACTTATACTTATGATGTTAACCCATTAGATTTTCTCTGGCATGTTAATGAGTGTCCTTCTGTGTCTAAGAAGCATAGATGAGGCACAGAAGGAAGCACAAATGGAAAAAGATTGCTACCACATGGATATCACCATGGACCTGAAGAAGAGAAGCTGAAAGAGACAAAGGCATTCCCCTCAGAGCAGACGGAGAGAGCCTTCCCCAAGAGCCAGCATCCTGAATTAGAACTGCTAGTCTTGTAAACTATTAGAAAATAAATTTCTGTCCATTAAAGTCACTAACTGTGGTACTTCTGTTACAGCAACATTAAGACACTGAAATAGTTACTTTGCTTTTGTTTTTCATTGATACCAAACTATGAAGTTTAACAAACCTATTAATCAGTAACTTGATGAGAAAAGGGAGTCCATGGAAAACTTTGCTTCTTACAACAGACAACAACAACAAACAAACAAAAAGGCGAAGGATAATCAGCAAGTTGTTAGGAAATGGAACCGGGACAAGGGCCAACATTCAGCTAGCTTTCAAAACTAAAATCATGGCTTTAGTGTAGAATCTTACATTAAAATGAAATTGGAGGTTGGGAGTAACTGCAACAACCAGTCTTAAATAAATGTGGAAACCCTCTGTTTAACTGACCTGCATAAACAGCAGCTGATTGTTGCAAAGATTGAATCTGTCCACGATTACATCCATACTTCTGATTAATTTCCTTTAAAGGAACTTCACTGATTAAATCTAATAACACAAGACTGGTGAAAAACCTGAAAAGTAAATCACCAAAGTAAGAGATCACTTATGTCAGTTATAAAAGTGCAATGTATGTGTGTTTCAAAACAACTAAGAACCAAACAAGCAACAGAGGGTTTACATACTCTGCAAAGATTCCTAATAGGAAAAATAGTGAATGGAAAAGACTGAGAGCAATGTTTGTAAAGCAAATTCTGACATACAACTTTTTAATAGTAAAAAAACATTATCTGTAGAACAAAAATATTTCCCCCCCATTCTGATATTTTGAACTAATTTTAAGAAATAAGACTTGGCTCCAGAAACATGATGGCACAACAATTTGAAAGAAGACTTAATATAGTGATCAGTTAATCATATTTCAACATAATGGCAGAATCTGATCAACAAATCCAGTTTTGATGAACTCACCAAAAATTTATACTTCATTATTTGTGAATGGTACATGGGATTGCACCGTGAGTTGCAATCAACTCGACAACTGGAACTAGAAATTCTTTAAGAAAAATAATTTTATTAAATGTCAAAAAAAAAGCTAAAAGCCTATCCAAATCCCGCATCAGAATCTTTTAGTGGGCACTTCCATGCTAATAATGAGTAACTTTCTCAAGATAAAAAGCATAACCTCATTTGAAACTACACTAAGTTGGCAGATTTTCTGATCCATATCTTCTTTAAAAAAGAGGTAATAAAACATTCTGATTTAAAACATCTTTGTATATGATGGCTGCTAAACAATAAGTGATAGGAAGAAAGCATAGTAGCAATAAACACAAGAAATGTTTAAGGTACATGTAGCACTATAACTTCTGGGATTCAAACCAACAAGCAAGCAGCTCCTTAGAAACCCTATATAGGGTCACTATGAGTCAGAACCAACTCAACAGTACTTAACAACAACAATAGCATAGCCAGCCAAAATGTTTATTTTATTGATAAAAGTGACTATAACAAACTGGACATCCACTCCTTTAAATGCTGGAGAGTCCAGGCTCTCATGTGTTACCTTTTATGGATGGCCATCTGCCGGTGCTGTCTCTCCGTTCTGGCTACTACTTTCCCTTTCACACAACGAGCCAAGAACCCTTCTTCAACTCCAACTAGCTCTGCTACGCGTTTCATAGAAGTTGGCAACTTTTCCCACAAACAGAAAAATCGGTACCAATCAATAGTGGTCCAATCCACAAACATTGGCGTAACCTAAATTACAAAAGGGGCAAAACTGTAAATGTAAAACAAAGGTCTCAGGAATTTCAAAAATATTTTTCTCAGAAATATTTTTCATTTCTGAGAAAACCTTATTTATTCATAGAATAGCTCATCATCAGGACAAAAGATAAAGAGATTATCAAGCATACAAGTCAGATTTTACAGAATCCAAGTACTTTAATCACAGAAGCCTTTAATCTCAATATTCTAATGCTAGGTATGTTACGTATATTATATGATTTCACAAAAAGAGTCAGTAAAATGGAAGGCGGAGCTTCTGGGAATAGAAAGAATTAGGCAATCTAGAAGATGACTTATGTATATATTGGAGAATTTACTAGAAATAAAGGTACTTGTTAAATATTTATCAAGATGTCAAACAGTCACTAAAGATTGCCAGTCCTGATATGGGAACTACTATTATCTCTAATTTTACAAATGAGGAAATGGACTCTTAAAAGAGGTAAGTACTTATGTGGTCATACAGTTACTAAGTGATGAGGTTTATATGGCACTGTAACTTTTAACCATAAGGTTGGGGGTTCTAAGGTTGAACTAAGGCAGCCTGACCCCAGAGTCCAAAATCTTAGCCACTGCATACTACATGACACTACAATAGATGGCTGGGTAAGGCCTGCTTTGATATTATTCTTTGCCATATTCTAAGTCACAAAACTTTGGCATTACATGTTTGCAAGGGGGAAAAAAAGCCGTCTATACATTCCTCCTCTGCTCATCTCTAATATTTTTTACTGAAACACATTTCCTGATAAGTCTTCTTAATTGAAGATTTCAATTTTATACTCATTTATTATTTATCAAAAAGCATCTGCTATTAATTGACATAATAAATTTCTTCTGATTAGGTTCTTGCCAGAAAATACAACCTTAAACACAATTTTATCTAATTTTTATTAAAGGCTTTGCTTTCAGGGATACCATTCATAGAGCCCTAGCTAATATAAACAAACTTGAAAAATTCCTAGCTACATTTACTAGAGAGATATTATTTAGGGGCTGTAGGATAAACAACAGCAAAGTAAGTTTGAACTACAAGGTTTGGCAGCTCAAACTCACCAGCCGCTCCTCATGTTAGAAATGAATCCCCATGTCGCATAAAAGACACTCGGTGAGACTAAATTATCTTGGCAAAGCAAAATTTATTGCTGCAAGAGGGTGCGTGTGCATAGCCGTACATACAGGAACAGGCCAGCAAGCACACCGAGTGGGCAGTCCACTTGGGTTTTTAATCCCTGACGAGAGTCTCAAGGCTATGTCTCACCCCACTGGCTAGGGTTTTGACCACACAATCTTTTCCCTTACCCGGTTGGCTAGTACAAATTTTCAAGGAACACATTCCTACTTTAGGAAAAGAAAAAGAGAGCGATCATAAATTCTTTACTCCAGGAAGTAGTTAAAAGAAAAAGAGAGTGAACATAAATTCTTTACTTACTTCAGGAAGTAACCAAAGAAAAAGAGAGTGATCATATTACTTCAGGAAATAAAAAAAAAAGGTAACCT